CTTCGGCCCGCTGGCTGGCCGCCAGCTAAACAGGGCCTCGCTCGAGTTTTAGGGTTTAGGGTTTTAGGGTTCAGGGTTTTAGGGTTTAGGGTTTTAGGGTTTAGGGTTTCAGGGTTTAAGGTTTTGGGGTTTAGGGTTTAGGCTTCAGGGTTTCAGGGCTTATAAAGGGCTTCTTGGGGTTTACGGCTCAAGTAGGGTTTGGGGTTTTAGTGTAGTTAGTCATGCTGAGACTGCAGGGGAAACGGTTGTTGATTATGCAGACTCTTTTTGTCGGGGCTGCCAAGATTTTTCATAGGGCTTCAAGCCGCTATACTCTTGACTTGAGGTTGAGCGCTTGATGTGCTTTTGAGTGGGGGGCCGCAGGGCTTGGGGCTTACAGGGATCAGGGCTGAGGCCTGGGGGCTTCAATTGCGGATTGCAAGTGAGTGGGGTTTAGGGGTTTAGGGGTTTAGGCTTTAGGGATTTAGGGTTGAGGGGTTTATTAATGGTTACAGTAGGGGATTGCCCCCCCCCCCCGCCCCCCACACTTATTCTGATTTAAGAGCGGGAGGACTTGACTGGGGTGTTGCGGCTTTTGGGCGTCTCTTTGAATCCATCTGATTGTGTACGACACTGGGATCTGCTGTGCGGGCTCTGTTTTGGCGTCTTTCTGTCTTCGTCTCTGCGCATGGATCTATGCTTTGCCTGTACTGGCCTTTTTTGCTGAACTCTGTGGCAGATCGTTGGCATGGTTCGCCGGCAGCGCATCAATGCTCCGATGCACGCAGGATCGCTCGGGTGTGAGGGCTTTTTCAGGTCATGGTTTGGGGCTTCTTTCTTGTAAGAAAATTTAAGGTTTTGGGTGTACTCCTTGACACTGAAGACCCCTGCGCTGGCTCTCAATGCTTTCCCTTGGCATCCGCTACGCAATACAAAAACTCCAGAGCAAAGAGTTGCTCGATAATGTGATGGTGCCGATACAAGCAGTGAGATTATGCAGGATGTGGTAAATGATTGTATACTCTTCGGTATGCAGTTCACGGCCCAGCAACAGTAGTTTCGAGGACTCCAACTGCTCTTGACTCCTCCCGCCGTACAGCTTGCATCAGCAAACCACTAGTAAAGGTACGACAGGCTGTTCCAAAGTTGAGTCCCACACGGCTTGGGTTTGAAGGGACTGCGGTTTATGGCCAGGCGTCATGGGGCTGGATGCCTTCGTTCCGATCGGACAAGGGTCTTGCCAACGCGCTTGTTCTTCTTCCGATAATGGTCCTTCTAGTAGAAAAAAGCCCCAAGCTTTCAGCTATACCCACGCATTGGCAATAAACCTATGCCCCGTGACTGTCCACCGCTACATGGTAATCCGGTACGAGCTTGCACCGCATCTGATCCTACTTGAGGGAGCGCTGGTGATGAGGCAGTTTTGGGTTTAAGGGTTTAGGACTTCACGGTTTCGTAGCGATTGTCCCAAGAGTCGCTATGCACACACATCACATGCGGCCTTTCCGAATGAGCTCGGAGGTGAAGGCAGCACAGAAGCCTCAAAGGTTAGTTAGTAGAATAGTCATAGTCCTGCAGTCCAAAACTTTGTCCTCGTTTGGAACAAGCCGCTGAATAAGGGAAGACTTTCCATCGCTTTGCGAACTCTTCCGCCACAGTTGCATGTCATCTAAGCTCGGGAACTGTTCAAGGTAGCTTTTCTGTCAGCAGTTACTTTAAATAGGGCCAAGAAACGTGGGCACCAAGAAGAACGTTGTGCTAACACCCGCAGCATTTCGGCTGCCAGGATAACAGGTAGCTGTCCATTGGTTCTGCCTATGAATCCCGTCAAGCCATAAACCCTTAACCCCTACAACCTAAGCCGCTCCATGTCCTACACAATCTCTCCGACAAGACCCTCTTCACCCGAAGCGGCCCAGACCAAAAAGCCGCCCAGAGATTGCAGTGTCGAGTCGTAATTTCGAATCGTTCACCTGAACCTAGTAGAGTATAGTATATTGTCTTATAACAGTATACCATAGTATATTGCAGCATATTATAGTCTACTCTTGTGTTTCATGGTCTGTAAGAAAAATATCATTTTACCTCCGCTCTGTCCCATCAGCATCTGATCATGGAGCCTCTTGAGATGCAGGTCGGAGACACCGTGCATAATGCCGGTCGAGAGTCTACAGCGAACTCCCGGAAAGTTAGAACATGGGCTTGGGATGATTAGTGCTTAAATCCTTTACACTTAACCTGTAGGGAATGAGGATGATAATGTTTTAACTGTATGGCTTCTACTATAGAGCGTGCGACTGGGGGGGGTGGGGGCCTGTGCCCTCAACGGTTTAGGATTTGTTGTTTTAGGTTTTAGGGTTTAGGGTTCAGGGCGCGATGCCTTCCTAGCATTGCCTGAAGTGCAGGAAGCACCCAAAATCCAACCTCCAAACTCTCAGGGGTTGGCGTGAATAGGTGAGGTTTTGCTTTCTAGCTTTGCAGGTATGCTTACTTACAAGTGGTTACTCAACCATACCAGTGATCCACGCCAAGACTTAATGGACAATGGTTCGCAAAGAAAGTGATCGGCTTGATCTACTTCATCCCAGAATCAGAAGGAAGCTTCTTTCTTGAAGAAAGCGGTTGGGTCCACATTGGTTGTCCCTTTTTTTGGCATGTCGTTTTACTAACTCGTTTGTTTTGGCCCTGAGATCCTTACGAACGGAGCCCGTGGTTGAGGTACCCCTGCGGCCCATGAATTCTTAGGCAGGAAAGGCACAAACGCCTGACTCGCTTGTTTCATGCAGGTCACGGAGCTGTGGAGCCCGATTTCTGCGGCATGTCCTGCAGGTGAAGAACTTGGGGGTCTACTATAGGGGCCTAAAGAATTACCTATACTATTTTGGAGGGTTCCTTATTATACTTAAAATATAATCGGCCCCAAAGCCCTATTCTAATTATTAAGGCCCCTTTTTTCACTTCAGTCATCATGGGGCCTGGTAGGGAGGTTTCAAGTAAGGTTTCGCCGGGGAAAATTCAGAGACACCTTCAGGTGTTTCACTGCTTTTTGTAGGGCCTTTGCGGTTAATAAAGGGCTTAGATTACAGGGTTTCAGGGTTCAAGGTTTAGAGGGCTTACAGGGTTTAAGCTCGCCCTAAACCCTAAACCCTAAACCCCTAAACCCTAAAACCCTAAACCCTAAACCCTAAAACCCCCAGATCAGGGAGGGTAGAACGAAGTCGAGCTTGCCGGCCCAGAGTGGAACAGAGTAGGGGTTCAGTGCAAGCAAGCATGTATGCATAGATGTACGCATGTTCATTGTCATACTACCTGCATGTATGTCTGTGTCTATGAATGTGTGCTTTCTTGATACAAGTAGCAGGGACAGATGGTTCGTTCATGTTCTTTCTGCTTATGTGTAAAAGCGCAGGTGTTGTCGTTTGATACTTCCATCTGCCCAAGAACCACATGCTTGCGCACAGGGCGCACACTCTTTTACTTTTGCGCGCGTGGACTCCCATTCACTCATGTATTTGTCCGGTCATTCCGGCAGACATGGCACGCTCAAAAGACATGAGAGCCAGAGCGGGAGCGCGAGCGAGGGGGATTGGGGAGAGGGAGGGAGAGAGAAAGAGAGAGAGAGAGAGATAGAGATGGATGGCTTGAGGAGGGGACGGGGAAAAGAAGATCAGCCATCCGCCGGGCATGAACTCCCTATGGGTCGTTCTAGACTCGGGTTCCTTTCAAGCTTCCCCGTTTGTATTCCATGAAGGAAGCGAAGATCGATCGTGCTGAATATGAGGTGACCTGCGACGAAGCCCTATATCTGTATATTGCATTTTTTTATTATATATACATATTGCATTATATTCTATTATACTATACTATTCTCTATTATATGGTATTATATTATATTATACATAGATGTGTGTGTGTGTGTGTCCAGGGCAATCTTTGCTCAAGCAACCTCCAAGAAACAAGTCCCGCTTGCGACTTGCCTTCTGTAGCCGCTCAGCTGCAGTGAATACGAGTAGCTGTGGATTTGGGTTTCCCCCCCCCCCCTGGGCTGTTGCCTTCGTAGTCATAGTCTACTTCGGTGTTGGGTTTAGGGCTCGGTTTCACAGTTCCTATACATCATCTTCTGTGGGGTCTGGGCAGCGCTAGTAGTACAGGCTAAAGAGCCGCGACAACTGTTTGTCAAGGCCAACCGTCTAGAAGCAGTATGAAGCAGGAGGTACCGCAAGGCTTCAGTCTCAAGCGCCTGCTATACCAAGACTTCCTGGATTCTGGAGAGTCTCGGTGCTCCACTTCACTGCAACACCCCTGCCCGATAAGCTAGGGCACAAAGTCTGGGTACGGGGGCCCTTGAACCTGTACTTCATATTTGAGGATAAGAGACAATGGCTGGGGAACATTCGCCCACACTCTTCCAACAAAAATCGAAACACGAACCCCTTAAGGTTGAGCCAGGGGATGCTATAAACCCTAAACCCCTAAACCCTAAACCCTAAACCCTAAACCCTATAGTTAGTCCCGAACCACGTCCACCGACATGAACACAGAGCAGCTCAAAGGCCGAAACTCCCTAAACCACGAGTTTTGCGCCTGTGTGGTTTAGGGTTTAGGGTTTAGGGTTTAGGGTTTGTGTGCCAGGACTGCTTGTGTCCTGAACCACATGCTTGCATGGTGTAGAGCGTTTGCATCGTCATGTTCAGTAACAGGTCTGATGTTTCTGACAACTGTAAGCACCCTGGGCTCAAACGGCGAAGGCCAACGATTGTGTTGCTCTTCATTTTTTAAGCAGTTGCTGTGGTAACTGCCGATTAAGGCACCCACTGCTTCTCCCCAAGGTTTAGGAACGCAAGATCGGAGCCCTGCTCACCATCTAGTCGCAGGTCTGAGTCGTTCTAGCATCATACTACGCAAGATAGGGGCCTTGGTAGTTAGAATAGGGTTCTGGGGTCTATTTTACTATATCTATCATAAGGAACCCCCCAAAACCCTAATTATTCAGGCCCTTACATTACGTACCGGCCTTACAGCTAACAGCCTGTAGACCTGTCAAATCTCACGAAAAAAGTCCATGGAACGTGCATTGGCCCCATAAACCCATACATGTTGTAAGTAATGTAAATGCACATCTGTTCCTGGATTAGCCATAAGAGCTTTGGGTGTCTTCGCAGGCTCACTGCAGCTTTGCGCCTGTGCCGTGCGCACCTAAGGACAAAACTCAGGATTGATGCCCTACAACCGAAACCCGATAGACCCTAAACCCTAAACCCTGAAGGGTTTTGGAGGGTCTTGGGTCAAGGCCTTACGACATCATTGCTTTAAGTTTTGAGCGGAAGCTGCGGGCGGGTCCCTGTGTTAGGGTACAGCTGTAGGCCTTGGGCTTATGCACTGGGGGTTTAGGGTGCAGGGTTTAGGGTTTAGGGTTTAGGGTTTAGGGTTGTTGAATTTGAGCTCCACACGCTAATTCAAGCCAGTCCCCAAGCGGGGTGTTTGTTCTCGGCATCCGCGAAGCAGATTCTCCACTGTAAGGACCACAGTCGACCACACTTTGAGGGAATGAACTTCAGAACAGTCCACATCATAACCACATCATAACTTAACTAATTTCGGGATGTTCTGCCGCGACACCTTCGGAACTTCAGAGCAGCTGGCAAAGGGTAAACAAAGCTCGCCCTGTCTGCACTCGGGGATTGAGGTGAGCCCTGCACTAGTAAGTTAGGGTTTAGGGTTGAGGGTTTAGGGTTTAAGGTAAGCCCCGGAGCCCTAAGTCTCGACCTTGTGCATCAATCATGGAAAAATTCACGCTCGAAACCGAAACCCGACTACCTCAACCGTGAAATCCCAATCCAGCCAATCCAACTGTCCCGAATCGATGCCTCCGCCACCTTCCACAGGCGCTTCCATTCACAAAAAAACACCTGCAACGTTCTAGTTGCAGCATCTCGGCTGCACGAGAATCTTCGGATGGTACCCGCTTCTTCCGTCCAGCATTGAACCTTACCGGTTGATCAACCTTCTTGGCAGGCCTGTTTCGCGTTTAGTGCCGGGCGCACTCATTCTCAATCATTCTCGAGGTTCTGTCTGAGGCTACATTTCGTAGAACGAGTTGAGGCACTGAACGTTTAAAGCGAATCCCGGCATCCAAGGCCCCTGAACGAAAATCTCCTACAAAGATCCTGCACCCGAATCCCTGCACTCTGCACCCGATATACGTAGGCTTAGGGTGAAAGTGTTCCTCAACCCTGCACGATGCAATGTGAAGCCAGACTCCTTTTCTATGCCATCCCTGCCCAAGGCACTACTACATATCAGGCCGGTGGCAGGGAAGACGTTTCAAACGGATCGGGTTCTTGGCTCTTTCGGCGTGCTGCGTTTATCGATTATCTGTTGTGAGTCGCTGGCTTTTCCTAAACTCAGAAACTATAAGCCCTAAACTCTAAACCCTAAACCCTGAGCCCCTAAACCCTAAACCCTACCCTAAACCCCTAAACCATAAACCCATCATGCTTTTCGGGTGGGCGAGCAACTCTGCGGAGTGCATGGTCGAGAGCTTATCCCAAAGATGCTGAAATGTCAACCTCCATCATCCGCAATGTAGGGTCCTAAATAACTACCTATACTATTTTGGGGGCTCCTGATTATAAGTAGAATATAATATACCCCAAAAACCTATTCTTATCATTAAGGCCCCTATATTACCTTCCGGAAGTAGGATCTAGCTGCCTTTGGGCACGTGTCGATTCCCGACGCTACTGTGCCCTGAGTTCCTGACTCGCACACATTGGGGCAGACTGTGCCCCGCCCATGGAGGCATGAGAGACAGCCATGGCCGCCAGCATCATCGTCAACAACAGCATCACCAGTATCATTATTTAGGGTTTGGGTTTGGGTTTAGGGTTTAGGGTTTAGGGTTTAGGGTTTAGGGGGATTCATTACCCACATCCTCATCACCGTCACCATCACCATCACCATCATCATAGCTTTTGTCAGCAGCAGCCGCATCAGCACCACCTAGTCATCATCACCATCATCAACATCAGCAGCATCCTCATAATCTTCCGCAGCATGGACAGCAGTTTCATGAAAGTCACCGGGGAAGTTATCATCTAGAATCACTGCTCGTCCAGTGGTTGCTAGCCCTACGACCACTCCTTCGGAGGTCAGAAATGACTTCTACGACAAACTCCGGCTCCTTGATGTACGACATCCTTGAGGCCTGTTGAACCCCTAAAAAGATGGTCCAAGACTCCAGGGTCTCTTGAGGGCAACGGCTCTTCATGCCTCAGTGCTTTCAGGAGTTCAGTCGGGGTTCAGGGTTTTCAGCTTTTGGTGTTGCTTCGCTTAGCCGGCTTAGCCTCTCAAAACAATCCTGACTCGAGGAGCCGGGGAGACTTGCGAAGTCTGACAGCGTGACTGCTAGGTGCTCGATACTGACTTCGAGAGATGGTTTGAGGTTTCACCTGCCAGGTGCTGCATCCGCTGGCGTCCGAGTTCGTGATGTTCGCGTTGGCCGCCATCATCTACCTTCTCTCCACACGGGCTTTCATGGTGCCAGACAAGCGCAAGAAGAAAGCAGGACTGACCGGCGTAGATGCCTTGGTACCCCCAAGTTCAGATAGACACAGGAGCCAGAAAGCCAAGCGAGCAGACGCCGCAGCATCTATGGAAGCCAACACCGTGGTGCTCCAACACTTTCTACTTCGGTCATAGGTGCTGTCCTCCGTTCCTTATCCCGAAATCCTGTGTCCTAATCTCCTAAACCCTAAACCCTAAACCCCTAAATCCTAAACCCTAAGCCCTAAACCCGTAAAGCTGACGGTGAGCAAAGGTTGTCTGAGTAGCAGGGTTTTCAGTGATGAGCCTGAGGAGGTTGATTGAGTTTTTGCCTTGAGCCGTGGCTCGGCGTAGTGCACGCTCTGTTGAGCGAGCTTCTGACCTCGTGCGAGAGAAAGGGGGCTAGTGCATTAAAAAAAACCCCGTAAACCCTAAACCCCAAACCGCCTAAGGCCCTAAACCGTGAAACTCTTGTTGGCCTTGATTTGCTCTCCCTGGCCTGGTCTCTGTCCTATTCCCTGAGGAAGCTGCTCCATGAAACACATACACACATGATCATGTCATCGGAGCACACAAATACTGCATCTAGTATGTGTAGAACCACTCAAATAGCAAATGCATTTACAAGTATATGTATTTGTATATGTAGATGGAGATAGAGAGAGGGGGAGAGAGAGTAAGATAACTAAGAGAGAGAGAGAGGGGGAGAGAGAGAGAGAGAAAGCAAGAGAAAGACGAGTTTCACACATGAACAGCGGTCTGTGTGAGAGAGGGCGCGAGTGTGTATGTCTGCAAGAATGTATGTGTTCGTTTATGTCTATGTATATGTAGATGTATTTCACACCCAGAGCGTATCGGTGCTTGGTTTCTCGTCCTGAAGCTGCCGTGGTGTTACTAGCATCCATAGACAGTACTGCTTTGATTGATATAGCACGCCACCCACCCTGAACCCTAAACCCTCAACCCTAAACCTCCAACCTAATCTCTAAACTCCAGGAGCCATCGAGAAGGTCGCCGAGGTGGAGGAATCTTCTCGGAAGGGCCGTGAACCTCGCAAGCTCTGGAAGAAGGAGATGGAGGAGCGGCGCGGTGACTGCGGGCGGTTTAGGAGTGTAGGGTTCAGGCCGTCAGAATGGTTCTTGTACGCACACGCACTCGTGTACTTCTGTATGTACATATGTATGTAGGTATACATGTATACATGTTGTATATGTATACGTATGTCTATATGTATATGTACATTAACAGGTACATGTAGTACAGCCATGTACTCATGTATGTATGTATGTATGTATGTATGTATGTATGTATGCATGCATGCATGTATGTTTGCATGTATGTATGCATGCATGTATGTATGCATGGTATGTATGTATGTGTATGTATGTACCGATGTATGTCATGTAAGTATGCATGTATGTATGTATGTATGGGTTCACATGTGTACATGTGCACGCCTGTACGGTATGTATAGGGTGCTTGGCGCGCAAGGTATTGAGGTAGTGTATACCATGTAATCATGTGAATAGTGCATGTGGTGTATGCAATGCATGTAATGTATGCAGTTTGGGCAGTGTATGCATGTCCGCAATGTGTTTAATGTACACAACATTTGATGATATATGCATGTGATGTATGCAATGCATGTAATTATGCAGTTTGGGTAGTGCATGCATGTCCGCAATGTATTTAATGTACACAACATTTGCTGATATATGTATGTGTGTCTGTCGATATGTGTAGGCATTCGAGTATGTATGTCAGTACGTGCGAACATGTGTTTTCATTGCTTCAGGCTCTGTTTGTGGACCTGCCTTTAACGATGTGACCAACAGGCAAGCAGTTCAGTTGCCGGCAAGAGTAACCATTCCAAACACACCTCATTTCGATACCCAGGAAATCCGCATAACAAGAATCTGTAACTAGCCAGAACAGGAAGGCCACAGAGCCCAAATGCGACCCGAATCTTTTCCTTGGCCTAAGCCGTCCTTGAGTGAGCCCCAAGCCAGGAGACGTCTCACGTTTATCACTCCATCTTGCAACATGCTAAGAGCTGCTTGGCCAGACGTCAACGGTTCACTAGCTAGGGCGCGGCTCGGCTAGGGTCTATTAAATTCTTAACCTCGCAGCCCTAAACCCTATAAGGCCTACACCCTCAAGCATCCTTGAGCCCTCACCTTGAGCAAACTCCAAATCCCCTCTGCCCTCAACTCCGAACCCTGAACCCTAAGCCCCCATGTACCCTAAACCCTATAAGCCCTAAACCAAAAACCCTAAACCCTAAACCCTAAACACCCTAAACCCTAAACCCTAAACCCTAAACCCTAAACCCTACCCTGAACCGCCTGAACCGTGCTTCAGTAATCCAGGACCCGCCCCCTCCCCAAAGGTCTGAACCCTAAGCGCTAAGACTTCCCCAAGCTTCCTGACTTTCCACTGATCGGAATCCTCAGAAGACATAGAGGTTTAGGGTGCAGGTTTTGGTTTAGATTTCAGGGTTTTAAGACTTAGGGTGTGAAGTTTTTGCTTTCAGGTTTTAGGGTTAGGGTTTAGACGCTTGTTCCGAGATAGACAAACAAGAAGCCCTTGTCGGTCCCCTCTGTAATGACAATGCACCACCTACTTCTTACTTATCGAGGCGCCTGCATTACGCTGCATGTTGCTTCAGATTTCATGAGCCCTCCCTAAACCCTAAGCCCTGAACTCCCCCTAGAGAAAAAGAGCCCCAAACCCTGAACTGTGGCTCCTCCCTGAGGCTTCTTTAAGATGAGCTTCAACTTCCTTTTATTGCCTTGAAAAGGGGACTCTGGCGGGTTTCGGTGGCTCTGAAATCTCTTTTGGAATTGTGGTTTAGGGTTTAGGGGCCCGCTGACAAATTGCGGTTGTAGGGGTCTCTCTTTCGGCGTTTGAGCTAAAACAGAGCTTGGAGGGGGTTTTGGATCCAAGCACTTAGGGCCTAACTCCCTATAAAGCCCTGAATCAGGGTTCGGGGCTCCTGGATCCTGCAACCTTGGGAATCTGAAGAAACCTGACCGGGGCAGCTCGGATATGCTGAGGGTCTGTGGTAGGATCGAAAGCCTCTGGGGGCGATAGTTTGCCTTGCAGAGAACGGGCAGAAAATCGTCTTTAAGATTGCCGGCTTGTCCTGAATCAGGGTCTTGCTTGCTTGCTTGCTTGCTTG